TTTTTTTTGCCTCTCTATCTCACTCTCGACAAAACCGGAAGAAAGGAACGATGACTGAAGATCTTCTCTGGCGACTGGAGATCGTTTTCTCCAATGAGTGGGAGCTCTCTGGCTATTGGGTTACTTCATAAAGTGTAGTGGTGCGCACTCTTAATGGACATAGATCCAATTGTACTATCGTTGAATTCCACGCATTTGGTGAGTTTTTTGCATCTGGTTCCATGGACACTAATTTAAAGATCCGGGATATCAGAAAGAAAGGATGCACTCACACCTATAAGGGTTTTCGACGACAAAATCATCTTCTTCGTCTTCTCTAATGTGGATTTCAAATCTAGGTTTTAGATCTAGGTTTTAGTTCTTGGTTTGTCTTCTCCGGCAACTGTTCAGATCTTGGATTTTCTTTTACTGATCAGACCTTATTTTTTCTTTTTCTTTCTTTTTTTAATTTTTTTTTATCAATTTAATATATTAAAATAACTTTATATGAAACCGTCTATTCAAACAGGTTATACTATTTTTTATTTTGTAAAATTATTTTTGAAAGTATCAAACCAAACAAGTTCTTCGTCTCAGTAACACTTTTCTAAAACTCTTCTAAAAAACTATTTTTGGATATTATTTTTAAAGACGCAAACCAAACATGCCCCAAATTTGTTGAATGATTATGTTTCAAAAAAAATAGAGGTAACATCCATAAGAGATAATTGAAGGGAGAATGACTTAAGTGCTTTAAAAACATTTATAAATGCCCTACTTTAGCACTTAAGCAGCGGAGCCTCGAGAGAGAGGTCACCAAGTTAGAATAGCTACAAACTCGCTTTTCGCGAGGAAGTTGAGAAAGAGTGTTATTGAGGGTAAGCATACGAGTAGAGGAAGAATAAAATTAACTTCAAACAAAACAATAAAGAAAGATATAATAAATTATAGATTAATATAAAATATAACATTTGATAAAGCACAATGCCAGAAGAAGATTCATGTAACCGACTCCAAAAATATTAAAACAAGAATTTATTGATTTTAATAATGATACTTGTACTTAATTAAGAAACTTAATACATTATGTTCGTTGGGTTGTCAATAGATTTCAATCAGTGCTAGAACCTACCACCTACACTAATTCAATGGATATAATAAATTAACTTCTCCAATTAGAACCCAAATTAAGTTATAAAACCATTGCTTGATGAAATTTTTTGTGTAATATATAAATAACTGAAAATATATGGGTAATTAAATTAAATGTCAAAGTATATTCAGCACTTTTAACCTTTTTAACTTGCGTCAACATTGCTACATTTAAAAGAAATATAACTTGCCGTGATGGACCCTCTTGTGAGGAATTTCTGTTGGGTTTTGGAGTTAACACTAGATGGGACTGGTTTGCGTAGGGAATTTTGTTTTGAAGGCCTAGGTCAGCATGTGGAAGCCATTCCTTTGGGGAAATGCTACGTTACAGTCCCCGGCACGGGTATTAAAAATTATAATTTTTTTTAATGTATAAGTTATAATTTTAAAAATCATGATTGATCATAGGAGGTTGGGATTGATACTGAGATTTTCATGATCGATCATAAATTTCTATGATTAATCATGACTTTCTCTTGAACAATTGTAATTTTTCTTTTCAAAATTGTAATTTTATTATAAAAAATGATAACCGATGGCACCGATACCGATAAAGGAAAAAAATAATATTTTGTTTTTTGATTTGCATAAGGTATCAATTTTTTTTTTTTTTTTTGGTATTGTATCTTCAAAATTTACTATTTCAATGAGTGTTTTTATAATTTTTATGGATCATTTTACAATATAGGTAATTTATCACTTTTATATGTATTTTAATCACTATTACGGGTGGTTTTACTATTGTTGTAATAAATAATTTTACCACTTTTCTTCGTTATAACAATAGTAAAAAAAATAATAACGATGAAATTAAAAAAACTCAAATATCACAACGGACCAGCCAAATCATCAAAACAAAAATGAATACAACTTGTTGTCTCCTCTAGAATAGCAACCATATTGAATCTTCATCAGCGGTAAACAAAGTATCTTATCAAGAACTTTTGTCAAACCATTCAGCCAGAAAAACAATATATAAAATTTATTACGATCACCAATTTTTTTTAAATAATATAAAAAAATAATTATAAGAAGTGGTGGAAGATTTTGCGGGTGCCATTTCCTTATTCATTTCATCTTTGTTGACCTCAAATTTGCATATGGGGTGGGTATGTACGAATATTTTAGATATCTATATAATAAAACAATTAGTTATTTGAAATTCTATCCCATATATATTTTCTCTTCCAAAATCATTCCATTATCTATTTTTATCAAATATTTAATTATTTAATATTTGATTAATTTATAGTTTAATATAATTTTTATTTTAAATATTATTCATATACGAGAGAATGCTCATGTTAAGAAAATTTGTCAGTTTACATATTTTTGTCAATATTTTTAAAAAAATAATAGATAAAAATAAATTTTAAATGATATAATTAAATAAATAAAAACATATTATTTAATATAATAAAATTAATTTTTTGAATATTCAAATTTAAAATTTTATCACACCTTCGTGCACGAGTTATATATGTTATTTGTAATAATTGCACGTCTGAGTAGGTTCGAAGCTAATAGTTGCTTATTTGACCTTTTTTTAATTGAGTTGACTTTACTACGTGTAGATGACCATATAGCATTTATTGATTATTATAGCGAAGTTTTCCTCCTGTCCCAACCTAACGAAAAATTTATCTAATATTTATATTTATTCTATTTATAAATGTCAGATTTTGTAAAAAAATATTAATTTTTTATTTTATTCTTAATTATAATGATAAAGTCAATTATACCTATTTATGTACTTTCTTCTAAGTTTTGTTTTTTTATTTCTATTTGACTTTCAATTTGTTCTAAACTCATTTATCATTCCTTCTAAATTATTTTAAACTCATTTATTAATACTCTATTTATATACAATTTTTTATATCTATATGAACAAATAGAGTACTATATATATTAAATTATTATATTTTCAGATTGAATTTCTTAGTCAAATATATATTATATACATTTTTTGGTATTTATATAATAAAATAGCTCACAACTTGAATTTTATTTCTTACACATTTTCTCTCGGAAAAACATTACATTTCTTATTTTTATCACATACCCAATTATTTTAATATTTAATTAATTTATAGTTGAATATAATTTTTATTTCAAATATTATCTATACATGATAGTATACATATGTTGAAATTTTTTTGTCGATTTACATATTTTGAAAAATTATTATTTAATATAGTGAGATGGATTTTTTTGAACGTTCGAATTTTATATTTAATTGTATTTTCAGATACGGGTTATGACTAATACAATAATATTATAAGTAGTCCAATCAATCTATTTAACAAAATAAAAATTAATAATATAATTAGATGTGTACATGCCTAAAAGAGTCAGAGAAATATCTAAATAAATGATAAATTAGGTACTCAAAGACTTATAAAATAAATTAATTATTTGACACATAATTAATTATTTAATTTAATTATATATATAATTTATATTTTCTATAAAATAATATTATTTAAATTTATGTATGTGCAAGGCATATCGTGCATTGCTAGTTATAATTAAGAAATTGAATTTTGAACTTATAAAAATATAACAACGATCAAGATTAATTCAATCTTCATTTACTTTGATCCAATGATACAAAATTCATTCTAAAATTTTTTTTCCGCCCCCAAAAAACATCAATTGCTAGTACATCATTAAAGTTTGCAACTTAAAATAGTATCGAGTGTTTAATCTGCATCTTTTATTTCACCATCTAGATGCTTCGAGAAAAAACCTAAGAATTCTATAAACCTAATTCAATAAAAAGATCTAGATACTCTCTGTTTCAATTGTTCAAATTACATCAAGATCAATCATTCAAAGTTAAATGCATTATATNTATTTTATTCTTAATTATAATGATAAAGTCAATTATACCTATTTATGTACTTTCTTCTAAGTTTTGTTTTTTTATTTCTATTTGACTTTCAATTTGTTCTAAACTCATTTATCATTCCTTCTAAATTATTTTAAACTCATTTATTAATACTCTAGAGGCAAATTCCATGGATGATAATGGCGTGGGGTGATCCAACGAATTTAGGACGTAAAATTAAACTTGATTTTAAATTGACACCAATCTATTTAGTACTTTAACTAACAATTTTTTGATCCAAATAAAAAAAAATACTAACAATTTGAATTACACATTTATAAAATCATAATAACAGTTGAGATTAATCCAATGTTCATTCAATTTCNACGAATTTAGGACGTAAAATTAAACTTGATTTTAAATTGACACCAATCTATTTAGTACTTTAACTAACAATTTTTTGATCCAAATAAAAAAAAAATACTAACAATTTGAATTACACATTTATAAAATTATAATAACAGTTGAGATTAATCCAATGTTCATTTAATTTTATTATAGGGTATAAAATTCATTTTTAAACAAAAAAATTTTAGCCTAAAAACATCATTTTCTTTACACGGTCTTTAATGTCACGTAAGTCAACTAACACACTTACCTCTCTTCTCTCTCCCCTATTTAGTTTATAGGATGTTTTCAGACGACGCCTCGTGTTACTTCTAGTGGCATGATTGTTAAGTTGGGTCTGGGCCTAAGACAACACAATTGGGTAACCGGTTAAGTTGGGTCCAGGCCTAAGATAACACAATTGGGTTACGTGCATGGCCGGGGCGGGGCTCAAAACCAAACAAGCCCAATACCCAAAAAGAAGGTAACGAAGCCCTATTATCAGTACGACAGTATCACAAAATTGGGGCTTATTTTCCATTTCTTGAGATCCAAGACAACAGAGTTGCTTTTTAACAGTTTGAGCAGAGGAAGAAGATCGATCGAACATACTTATCACTAGGAGGAGGAGAGAGAATTAGAGTTAGGAAGAATGAGCAGTATAGGCACAGGTTATGATCTATCAGTCACCACTTTCTCTCCCGATGGGCGAGTTTTCCAGGTCGAGTACGCTGCCAAAGCCGTCGACAACAGCGGAACTGTTATTGGTATAAAATGCAAGGATGGGGTTGTTATGGTAAAGCTCTTTGAATCGCATTTGCGAATGATTTTTTTCAGACCTTTTGATTATATGTATGTAGTTAATTTCGTGTTTTTTTTACTAGGGTGTGGAGAAACTCATAGCATCAAAGATGATGCTACCTGGTTCTAATCGCAGAATTCACTCTGTTCATCGTCATGNTTTTTTTTACTAGGGTGTGGAGAAACTCATAGCATCAAAGATGATGCTACCTGGTTCCAATCGCAGAATTCACTCTGTTCATCGTCATGCTGGCATGGTAGATCTATATTCTTTTGCTCCTACTGTTCTCTCTCTCTCTCTCTCTCTCGATTGTGTGTGCGAATGTGTGATTTCTTTTTTACCACAATAACCCTTTGTTCCCTAGAACGCTTAGNTCTCTCTCTCTCTCTCGATTGTGTGTGCGAATGTGTGATTTCTTTTTTACCACAATATCCGCTTATTTCCCTAGAACGCTTATCAAATGGAAAAGGAATTTTGGGTTGTAATGCTAAATGTGCATAGGGTTGATTAAGTGGTGGTTATAGTATTACAAGTTCGGAAAACAAAAATCCGTTAATTACAATGAAGAGCCCCATTTCTCATTAGAAAAAGTTAAAGATATCAAGGCCATGTTTGGTTTGTGTTCTCAAAATTTCAAAAACACCCAAAATCTATTTGTTTAACATTTTTGTTATCTAAATTTTGGAAAAAAAATGAGATTTGAGTCAAAGAAACAGAAAATAAGTGTAACTTGTTTTCAGAGTTTTTTTTGAAAATTTTGGAAATAAGGAGGACAATTTTGGACTTTCAGATATGAGTATATATATATATCTACATATTTATATACATTATGAAATAGTCAATATAAAAATGNTATCTAAATTTTGGAAAAAAAATGAGATTTGAGTCAAAGAAACAGAAAATAAGTGTAGCTTGTTTTCAGAGTTTTCTTTGAAAATTTTAGAAATAAGGAGGACAATTTTGGACTTTCAGATATGGGTATATATATATATATATCTACATATTTATATACATTATGAAATAGTCAATATAAAAATGAATTTGTTAAAACTCTTCTCAAAAAACCGTTTTTGGATACTATTTGTTGNGAAAAAAAATGAGATTTGAGTCAAAGAAACAGAAAATAAGTGTAACTTGTTTTCAGAGTTTTTTTTGAAAATTTTGGAAATAAGGAGGACAATTTTGGACTTTCAGATATGAGTATATATATATATCTACATATTTATATACATTATGAAATAGTCAATATAAAAATGAATTTTTTATATTTTTTTATTAATGTTTGAATTACTGTTCAAATATATATTTAGGCTGTCCAAACAGGTTTTACTATTTTCTGTATTGTAAAATTGTTTTTGAAATCATCTAACCAAACAAGTTTTTTATCTCAAAAAATATCAAAATCACTTTGTTAAAACTCTTCTCAAAAACCGTTTTTGGATACTATTTGTTGAAACGCAAACCAAACAGGCCCCAAATTTCACACTAATTCATTATTAGCTCGGTCACATATGCTTTGGAAACTCAGTTCTGGAAGTGGTGGTCATAATAAAGCAAACCAAACCAAATTGTATGTCCCAATCATTTGTGGTCGACTACATGACTTTGTCTTCTCTATTTATTTCGATCATGCGCTATAAATTCATTAAAGTTAAATATTTTTATATCTTTTCTTATGATTTCATTCAATAATTTCATTTAATGTTAATTTAGGTCTACCTTTACTTCTAGTATCATTAAAAGAAATTCTATCACTTTTTCTAATCGGTGACTCTATCGGCCTCCGTTGAACATGACAAAACTATCTTAATCTATTTTTTCTTAACTTATCCTCAATTGGAGTTACTCCTACCATTTCTCTAATACGGTTATTTTGTATTTTATCCTTTCTAGTTTTTCCACATTCACCTCAGCATTCTCATTTCCGCTACACTCATTTTGTCACTATGTTGTTTCCTAGTTGCGCAACATTCTGTCCCAGACAACATTGTTTCCCTTATAGCTGTTTGATAAAACAAGTATCGGTCATAATCGTGCATAAAATTTCATTTTAGAATTTTGAAGTTAACCCAAAAATTGACTTCCTTCAATATAGTATGACAACAGTTTTAGTAGCTTTTGGCATCCTTCTACTACCAGTAGTTATACCATACTGCATTCTAAGAGATTTACATGTTTCTTGATTTCTGTGNAGTAGCTTTTGGCATCCTTTACATGTTTCTTGATTTCTGTGCTTCTCAATTCTATAACATCTCTTTTATGCAACTTAATTTCCCTATAAATTGTAGTCTGTTGCTGGACTAGCGGCAGATGGGCGACAAATAGTTGCGCGAGCANTGCTTCTCAATTCTATAACATCTCTTTTATGCAACTTAATTTCCCTATAAATTGTAGGCTGTTGCTGGACTAGCGGCAGATGGGCGACAAATAGTTGCGCGAGCGAAGGCTGAAGCAACAAATTATGAAAGGTTTGCATCTCGTTCAATGTGTTGAGCAGCAGAAAACTTCACGACTTATTATTTTGGATAATATTATACGAAACCTCATACTGGCTGGGATTTAAAGTAGAATTTACTAATTGTTTGATATCACCAGAACTTGATTTAGTTTGTTGAGGTTTAAACCTAAAACGTTATATGATGGTATATAAGGCAAGAAACTAAAGTGTAAATCGGAAGTATGGTCAGTCTAGATATGGATGGAAATACACTTATTGGAAAAGAAAAAACAATGTGGCTGGAAATATGTCTTGATATAGGGCTGAAACTTATGGTGGACCTTATACTTAATTTTGTGGAAATGTTTGGTTTGCCCCTTGCAAATTCTTTTAAGCTTGTAAATGGTGCAGAGGGATAATCGATGTTGTTTACTTTGGGGGCTGAACTGGTTGTATAGACTCTTGTTATCTTTCATATCATGCGGAAATGGATCCATACTAAACACGTAGGAGCCAGATTGCGTGTGATTACAACGATGATGTGGAAACATTTTTATGTATACCTTTATGTCAAAATGTGTAGATGTATCGGGAATTTATCTCATGTCTGCTTGTAAAACACTTTAAGACAGGCGATGAGGAAACAATAAAACTTATTGTTTTTGAATTAACTCAATCAACGTACTAACAAAGTAAACACTACTAGCCCGATAAAACAATTTCCAGTGTGTGCTCTATTTGGTTCCTAAAGTCATTGACAGTTCAGATGGATGATTTACTTTCCTTTGTTAGGACTATTTGAATTCATTTACAATCATATCAAGCTTACAAAATGACATAAATGAACATTTGATCGCATTTAGATTTACAAGGCATCAACCCAAAAGTCAATATCCTCAGCATTATTATATATGCATTGTTTCTCCAAAATCTTACTTCCACTATTGTGATGAGAGCAACAATTGTTATTTTTAATGTGTTCTTGAAGTTATTCCATAATGAGCTACAAATGGTAAGCAAAGTAGGGCAATAATGAGGGTTCACATTTCCTTTTAAGGCATATTATATTTTGGGCACAGGGATGCGAGAACTAATCCAAGTCATCAACCACGTTTCCAGAATATTTGCTTCTAGCAAGATAGGGAAACACCAAAAATCCGTGTAACGTAGGAGCACTCACAATTTTTCACAATATTTGACTTACTCTTTCACTTGAATTTCCAAAACTATTACAATTAGAGCCAAATGAGTATTCTTTGGCTCTCTAACTCTCTGTCTCTCTGATAGGAAAAATGTTAGGGGTCTCCTACAAGCTTTGAGGATAGAGGTAGATTGGTTTTCATTGCTAATTACTATTAGGCCATTCGTAGCAAAATGTTGTTGTAGCCGAAGTGCAATAGCAAAACCCTTAAGTCTTATAGTTTTGTTCCTGAACAACAATCACTTTCGCTATTAGTTGATTTAAAGGCTTTTATGGTTATTGATTGTAATATAATAGAAAGGACACCAAAAACGCAAGTTCCATTCACATGCCAAAAAAAAAAAAAAAGAAGCTTAGTACTTGGAAAAAAGAGGATCCATTTGACACAACTTAGATGTTGAAAAGAAAGAAACCCTTTGTTCATTGCGGATAAGCAAGTGTGTTCCTCGATTACAAGACTATAGGAGTGTAAGAAGTGGGTTTTGAGGGTAGTAATCGAGGCATAACAAAATTTGGGTGGTATTTTGATTCTGTGAGTGTTTCACTCGAATGATGGCTTTGGCTCATCCCGTAGTTTTAGCGTGCTAGGGTTGACTTTTATCAAATCCCAACAGGAAAAAGAATGATTAAAGAGAATTAGAGGAGGAGGAGAAAAAAGTCTAGGAGCACTAAGGGAAAAATATAGTAATCACATCTTTAATTAAAATTGTATAAAATGAGAAACTTCATTTTATGACATTATATCCCTTTGAATCAGCTAAACATGATCTTTGAAGAGCCAATAACAGAGCTTTATACCAGGAAAACCTCCCCCGAACAACATTGTTGCCCATGACCGGAATATAGAGATGATATAAACTCTTAAATAAACCTTAATTAATCAAACTGGGAACATACTAACGACGACGTTGCACAAAATTGACCCCCCTTCAAAAGAAACCACTTGTTTTAGGATACTGTCTATGCTGTTGATTTTTTCTTGAGCCTCCTTGTAGTTGACTCTAGTTAGTGTGTTTTCCATCTTCCTGGTTTTCGTATCAAAAAAAAAAAACCACCATCACCACCACAAAAAACACATCATTGCTGTTCTGAAATTATTTGATCCTCTTAGTGTTGATGCAGGATTTTCTTAGAGTCCCAACACTATTTTTGGGATAGAACTGATAAAATGGTCTTAGGACTGATTATTGAGCTATGATGGAAAGATTACTGTGGATAAGGACTTTGTGTCTGGATGGTGATAGAGGCTTAATTAGCCAAGAAAAGGGCAATGTGCTAGGTTATTCTGGGTGCTGCGACGATGACCAATGAAATGCTCAAGTGTACCTTGCTTTTCCAATGCTTTCTAAGATCTTTCCCATTGTGTTTCAGCTTTGCAACTCCTCTTTTTCTGTTATTCTGCTCTGAGAAACATGGATTTTTGATTTTATAAGGTATCAACACAAATGCTTCGTTGTCTAAAATACATATATGTCCTTTTTATATGATTCTTGCTAGTTTGTTTTGTGTCTTGTTTGCTTTGCCTTTTATGGGGACTTGGTTCTTTCTGTTGAAGATTTCTTATGCACCTTTCCTTTTCAGGTCCCTTTTTCATTAGTTTCCCAAAAAAAAAATTTGATTTGTAAAAATGCAAATTGAGAGATCAAAGTGAAATTGAATATGTATCATGGAGTATTATTTGGGGAGTCATTCCCATTTTCATGATTTTTTCCCTTCTGCTGCGGATTTGGTCATATATTCTAAACAGCTGATGTCAAATGATCCAAAATACAATCCCACCATTTTTTTTTTTCCATATATGTTTCCAGTTGTCAATGATCAGTTGATATTTTTCTTGTTGTGCAGTACCTATGGTGAACCTATTCCTGTAAAGGAACTGACTGAACGTGTAGCAAGTTATGTGCATCTATGCACACTTTATTGGTGGCTCAGGTTGGAGGGTTCATCTTTAAATTTTTATTAGTGGATATTGTATTCCTTTTTCTGCTCTAGATACATTGGCTTTCCTTTTAGGAAAAAAAAAAATACTAAGAGACAATGGTTGCTGTTGCAGACCCTTTGGATGTGGAGTTATTCTTGGAGGGTATGACAGAGATGGACCACAATTATACATGATTGAACCCTCCGGTATTTCATATGTGAGTTGATTCTCTCCCGGGTCATTAGTGTAGTAGCCACAACTTCAGTCTTTCCTCATCTGCTTTGTGCATTGGCATGTACAATGACTTATGTTCCCGACTGTTTTCAGCTGCCTGTGATTTGTGAATGAAAATGTACTACACTTTCTTTTATTGTTGTGATATTTGGATGTCCTTTTGTTCACTATTGGTATTTGAAATTTTTGATAGAGGTACTTTGGTGCTGCAATTGGAAAGGGCAAGCAGGCTGCTAAAACGTAAGTTAATCATGATGTCTTCCATCTTGGACCCTTTAGCAAAAAAGTACCATTATGATCAATTGTGATTCATGGAGAATTGTGGAAATATAAATGTTGAAACTATTATTGACACTGCTGTCAGATAAGGCATTATGTTGGGTGTAGAGGCTCTGTATATTTATACTATTACTTGTTTTTGATTGCGCATGATACAATAATTCTGTGTATTTATATTATAGGCCTGTAAATTTGTTTTTGATTGCGCGATGCAACAATTTATTCTTAATAGAAATGGCGAAATCTAAGGAAGTTTATCCAGTTAGCATTTCATAATCAGAGAGGAGAAAGTACGTAAACTTGTAATTATTTTCATGAAAACTACACATATTCAGGGTTTATGAATTCCAGTTCATAATGTCTTAATATCATTTTGCTTAAGTTTCTGGTTGTTTGATTTTTCTGCTTTTAGAAAGGAAGCATGTTGCTTCTCAATGACCCAGAATTGGCAATTGACATGGGAAGGAACTATAAATTACCTGGAATCTCACAGAAAGATTGATTTTTATTAGTTGTTCATCCAATGAATTTGAATCAGTTGTGTCTTGCTCAGACCAACAAATTGTTCACTATTTATGTGCCATCTGTATATTTTTTTTTAATGTTATGTAATTCTTATTTTTTGTTGGGTTATTGCTTCTTTAGGTAATTAGGTGTTTATGGGGATGGCTACACTTGTCATGAAGGGTGGGAACCTTTTATGCTACTTTACTTGGATGCACTGTTTGTAGTTTAATTCCACCGGTCTCTTTGGTCTCGTGCCACTGTTGAAGCATCCATTTTGAAGTAGTATTGATTGCACATTTCCTCTTGCCAACATGCTTGTGTGATGTTGCTGTTTGGTTTTCACCAGTAGCTTTGATCTCATGCCACTACTGAAGCATACATTTCTGTTGTATTGATTGCACATTTACTTGTGCTAACATGCTTATGTAATGATGCGGTTTGATTCCACCAATAGCTTTGTTCTCATGCCACTACTGAAGCTTCCATTTTGAAGTAGTATTGATTGCACATTTCCTCAAGCTAACATGCTTATGTCATGAACAGAGAAATTGAAAAGTTGAAGCTTTCCGAAATGACCTGTAGGGAAGGTGTTATTGAAATAGCCAAGATGTGAGTGATTCATTCTTTTAATTCTTTTTGTTTCATTTTCTTGCATTCAATGTTTTACTCTTTCTTCGATTCAGTCTTTTATGTATTAGAATCATTCTAGAAAAAGAAATAGGAAATCCCTAGCAGCTTATGCTAATTATGCACACTTTGAATCCAAGAAAGAAGAAGTGACTTTTGAGGATTTGAGATCAATGGGTATGTGTATCACCTTAAATTTGGGGCCTTTGGGGTGAGTCTTATGAAATTCTGCAATAGATTCCTGGATTCTGACAGGCTTATCTTTATCCTAGCAAGGTAATTCCATAACTCTAATCTTTTCATCCACATGTAATAAATAAAATAAGTGCAGCACAATGCATGCGGGTCCTGCCAGTACGGGGTCTGAGAAGGGTCAGGTGTACGTAGCCTTAAAGGCTATTTCCGCTGCTCAAACCCTTGATGCCCAGGTCATTGTGGAGGAACCTTACTATTATGCCAATGCCCACCCTACTTCTCCAAATATGTACACAAAAATGCAAACAAGAATGTTTCTTGTGAAAACACAAAACTTTGTTTATATTTGTTTTGATTATTTTATTAGTTTCTCGTTTGAGCTTCTAAGTCCACAATGCTCGTTTCTTCCCTTCTCCAATAAATTTTTCTCTTTTTCAAGAGAAAAAGTATGCTGACATATTTCATGAGCATATATGTGTGTGTGTGTGTTAATATTGATTATTGAAATGACAAACCAGATTTAAGGGACTTAAGGAAAATGTATATGTTTGTTGTTTAAAGGTTTGGTACTGAAACATAATTTGTATATTGCAGATAAAATTTTTATTTTTCTTGGGTTCTTGATTTTTGTTTGTTGATTTTTTATTCCAAAATACTAATAAAGAGAGGATTCAGATTCAAATCAGTGATTTTTAATTTCTCCAGCTTCACTGGCTTCATTGATCAAATTAAATTGACTAGTTACTTGGGATCTTGCTATTATTAGTGCTACATGTCCCTCTATAGGAGGATCACATGTCTAGGTTTCCATGCCTGCCAATACATAGGTGGACTTTTATGTCTGTGTTTGCTAGCCTGAGCATGAGAAGTGAGAAAGGGAGAGATAAAAATGATTTATACGTTGAGAGAGATAGAGAGTATGAGAGAGAGAGAGAGATATTGATGTTGCTGCTTTTAAGTCTTAATCTGATCTTTTCATAATAGGAAAAAATCCTCTCTTGAAACTTGTAACAGTCCCAGAGTTCTTATTGTTTGCATGCAGAATGATTTAATTTGACATTGTTCTACTAGATACGCAAGGCTCTGTTTGAAACTTGGTAACTAGGAAGGGAAGAAAAAGGATTTTCAGAGAAGTTGTGATGAATATAGAGTACAAAGGAGAACGGGGAGTACAAAGGAGAACGGGGAACCGAGTTTTTCTTATAAGATGGTGAGAAGATGCACAAAATCTCAAGAAAATTGCATCCTGTTTTTTCCTAAACCTTTCATTTTCTTTGTTTTTTTGGATTTTCAAGAATATCATTATAACCATTTGGGTTAGAGTGATGGACAATGGCCATGCCGTTGGCTTTTGGGAGAGTGTGAGATACATGACATGCACTTCACTATTTTTCATCCAAAATCTTACAGTCACTGATTTTAGGGCGATGTGAAATCGATTAATATAGTTGAGGGAACAATGTAAGAATTTAAAGGGTTGGGGTGGGGGGTAAAGTGAGATTGGGGTGATAGTTTTGGTTGCTAAGTGTAGTTTGTCCAAGAATTTGTTACCTTGGAAACATTTGTAATGCAACTAAAGTCTCACAACTCATTTCTTTCTAATACCATATATTCCTTGTTATTGAAGTATAAGCTATAAGCATCTAACACTCACCCGGACGGTCAAACTATCCACATGAAGAGGTAGACAGAAAACTTAGAAGACAGATCAAAGACATTACAAGGTGCACTTATGGCATGAATGAATGGGGAGTTGATTGCGAATCATGAAACTGAAATTGAGAGGCTTGCCCAAAACCTCATGAAGCCCAGTTTTGATACCATAAGAAAATATCCAATTCAAAATCCATTGGCAATTAATGCAGACGTGGACAAGGCAGATACACCGAGTATTATAGCACTGTGGAATAAGCTCTAACATTCGTAATCACTGACCAATGTTCTGCAAGGAGTACGTACAGATATCTCAAGACTTATGCTTCAGTACTGACTTGCACTTGCGCTTTCATCTTCTTCAGAGCCAATTCTACACCAGTTGTTCTCTAGTGATTTCACATAGCAGACATGATTTAGTTTAACTAAATTCTACAGGTGAAACAATATAAGACACATTCTAATTCAGCTAACTGAACTCGCATCCAGTGGGGAGTTAAACTTTATGACTCTTTCAAATCGTTGTCATCAGCATCCTCATCCTCATCATTTTTTGGCTTAACAAATAAGTCCACTTGTGAGTGATAAATTTGTTGTATGCATTTTATGTAATTTCAAAATAATAATCAAAGTAAGCAAGATCTGTTTATTCCTATCTTCAAGAGGAGCATTTTGAGTACTCTCCTATGAGTTCTCTTTTGCATGTGTGTGTGTAAATTCGTAGTTCTTCCATTTTATGGGTGAATATCTATTTGTACATGTGTTATGTAGCATTTACAAGATACATGATGAGGCCAAGGACAAGGCTTTTGAATTGGAGATGAGCTGGGTTTGTGATGATTCAAAGCGCCAGCATGTGAAGGTAATCTCTCATCTGAACTTCTCTCTGACAGAGATGCTTCGTATGTTAAAGGGCATTTTCATTTATACTTTTAAAGAATGTCCAAGGTTCTTGGCACACCTTCCCCCACCCTGACTAGTAGTAACAATAATAATGAGGAGAAGAAGAAGAATGTAAATAAAACAGTATGCATTATCATATGATCCCATCAAAGTACAACTAATTTATGGGTGGTTTTATTAATATTTAACATATTTTTTGGGCGATTATATTGAAATTATTACTTCTAGTTTCATAGTTAGAATTTTAATCATGAAAGTGGGAAGCTCAAAAACATGTGCTTTAAACACAACTCTATAATTAAGTACCTTTCATGTGCAAAAACATAAACTTCTAGGAGATTTTATTTCCGGGTTTAATTTTCCATACCTTTTAGTTATGCATGTTTCAGGTAAAAAATATTTCCCAGAATGAAGGATAGCTTGAACACTCATTATCAAAGCATTGTCAAATTGGTCATCCAGTGCTCTAACATGCCATTAATGTTACAAACCAATCCTCCACCCCCACCTTGCCCACCCAACCACCCAAACACAAATACACCCAGCTCAAAGAAAGTGTGTAAAAGACACAAAACAGAAAATGAAAGAAGAAAACACAAACACATATAGCCATGCCCACCTTCCTGTTTTCTTCCTCCAAATGAGAAAACCCAATCACCATGGCAACCGGGGATAGCAAGGCCAGGGTGTGAAGTAAATGATAGCAACTGCTCAATGTTTCAAGTTTCAGCATTGGAATTGGTTTTTTCTTTTGCTTCACATGACATTGGAATGATTTGCATGCATGATAAGGATGTGGCCTTTTCCAATTTACATCAAACTGCACTTTGACATCAACAGTTTTGCAAAATAAAACTTATGGATTTTTAGTTAATTTCCGGAACAGTTATTGTTTTGGCTACGTGATATTCATATATGAACTAGCAATTTTCACGAGGCTGGCAAGAGGTTTGTTTTTTATGTTGGATATTCTATCTGTTTTCAGCAGGCACAAGGGAAAGGCAATTCCCATTTAGATCTCCTTTTTCGGCATGCATCTATAATTAATTGCTTCTTTAAGTGCCTATTATTATGCGTTATATCAGGTACCAGAAGACCTTTTAGAGGAAGCCAAGGCTGTTGCCAAGGCCGCATTGGAGGAGATGGATGCTGATTAATGGACCTTATCCCATTCCTCTCCTACTCATTCCCCTTGCATGTTTTGTTCATCTAGTGATCTATACAACATTGTGAATGCATGTTTGCAAACTTTGTAAGGGGTTCATTTGTGTACTATTAAACGTCCCTACCTGTAGGGTTTACTTTCTTTATTTTTATCCNATAAACTTCTAGGAGATTTTATTTCCGGGTTTAATTTTCCATACCTTTTAGTTATGCATGTTTCAGGTAAAAAATATTTCCCAGAATGAAGGATAGCTTGAACACTCATTATCAAAGCATTGTCAAATTGGTCATCCAGTGCTCTAACATGCCATTAATGTTACAAACCAATCCTCCACCCCCACCTTGCCCACCCAACCACCCAAACACAAATACACCCAGCTCAAAGAAAAAGTGTAAAAGACACAAAACAGAAAATGAAAGAAGAAAACACAAACACATATAGCCATGCCCACCTTCCTGTTTTCTTCCTCCAAATGAGAAAACCCAATCACCATGGCAACCGGGGATAGCAAGGCCAGGGTGTGAAGTAAATGATAGCAACTGCTCAATGTTTCAAGTTTCAGCATTGGAATTGGTTTTTTCTTTTGCTTCACATGACATTGGAATGATTTGCATGCATGATAAGGATGTGGCCTTTTCCAATTTACATCAAACTGCACTTTGACATCAACAGTTTTGCAAAATAAAACTTATGGATTTTTAGTTAATTTCCGGAACAGTTATTGTTTTGGCTACGTGATATTCATATATGAACTAGCAATTTTCACGAGGCTGGCAAGAGGTTTGTTTTTTATGTTGGATATTCTATCTGTTTTCAGCAGGCACAAGGGAAAGGCAATTCCCATTTAGATCTCCTTTTTCGGCATGCATCTATAATTAATTGCTTCTTTAAGTGCCTATTATTATGCGTTATATCAGGTACCAGAAGACCTTTTAGAGGAAGCCAAGGCTGTTGCCAAGGCCGCATTGGAGGAGATGGATGCTGATTAATGGACCTTATCCCATTCCTCTCCTACTCATTCCCCTTGCATGTTTTGTTCATCTAGTGATCTATACAACATTGTGAATGCATGTTTGCAAACTTTGTAAGGGGTTCATTTGTGTACTATTAAACGTCCCTACCTGTAGGGTTTACTTTCTTTATTTTTATCCCAACTTTTTCATCTGATTTTCTCCGAAGACACAAGGTACTTATTGAAGTTTACACCTTAAAATTATAATTGACACATGGTGGTCTATGATGCGCTTAGTCACATGGTTTTCTACATTGCTGCTCCTTTCTTTTACTAGTCTTTTGGGCTGGAATCATAAATGGGTTCTCCTATTTGATGATCTTTTCTGTAGGTTATTGTAAGTGGTCTAAACCGACTCTTATTTCTTCTAAGGTTTGTAGTACTTTTGGTTCTTAAAATATGTATTTTTGGTCAGTTTAGTCTTCAATATTAATTTTGTTAATTTGATCTCTAAAATATTTAATTCATGTCATTTTAGTCCTTATATAAACGAATTGTTAAGTTTTTTGACGGAAGTGATTGTGTCAATTTTTTAGATGATATTATGTGTCGACACTAGATTATTTTGTCAAATATTTAATGGTTTGTCTATGTGAAGATTAAAATAACATGAATTGGATATTTTAAGGACTAAATGAACGAAATTGATATATTGAGGACTAAATTGACAAAAAAATGTATGGACAAAAAGTGTTATTAACTTTTTTTTTAATTATGCTCTCGTTCTTACCCTATTTGACAAAAAAATTAAATATTTTGTTGAACATGATTTTACTTATATAATGATGAATTATTTGAGTTTAATTAATGTAGGTTGGATCTATTTTAAATAATATATATTCGTTAATTATAATTTCTTATTTTAAGAGAACACTGTTTGATTCTAGCAGTTGAACTTAGATTAATTGCCTTGGTGGCTTATGTACCTATTGATGGGTTCAAGTCGATTTGTAGTTTGGTGAGATTAATTTTTTTTTTTGGGTAAGATCAACGAATAAATGACCCATTAATCTTGAATGGATAAAATGTCTATCACGTTTGAAATGGGTAATTGACAATTTGAATTTGATACGGTTTAAGACCCACTTGATTGTGGGAGAGTTGTGATTGCGCTTAGTTTAACTAGATTGCCTACGTATCCGAAATAGAATTAAGTCAATTGTAATTTATGAATTTTGGAATTGCGACTATGTGTAGGATAGATGCTGGACTGTTTACATATTTAAAAATGGAATCAAGTTTGATATAGTTCGTGAAAAGAATTTTAAAATCTAAAAGATTTGAGTGAGATTTTAAATGAGTGAATGACTCATTTAATTTGGAATTTCACTTGGTTAATTTAAAATGAGTGAGTGACCCATCATTTTTTGGGATAGACTTGAATCGTTTATAAAACAAATTTTGACTTCTATGAATTTTAGCATTCATATAGGTTGTGACTTAGCATGCAATTAAATTCCATGTAAAAAATTAGTGACTTTTTGAGAGATAGAAGCTCAAAAATTTATAAAGAGTCTAAGCCTCTTTTCATAAGATCGTTGAGGAGTTTTAAATCTCGAAAATTAGTAAAAGAGTTAGAAACTCTTTAATTTAATTTTTACACTATATAATTTGTAGGAGTTTTGANTTAAGAGTCTAAGCCTCTTTTCATAAAGATAGTTGAGGAGTTTTAAATCCCGAAAATTAGTAAAAGAGTTAGAAACTATTTAATTTAATTTTTACACTATATAATTTGTAGGAGTTTTGAAACTCCAAAAATAGTGAAGAATTTAAATGATTAAATTATCACTTAAAAGGAGTCACATACTAATATCAATTTAAAAGAGTTATAAACTCTTTAAGTTAATTTTTTTTTATTCCACAACAAAATCTTTTTATGGGATGCACCAATAAGTTTTGCTGAGAGATGTTGGAGGCTCTATTAGAGTTACACTTCTATTCTTTGCTGACAGGAGTCGAAGACTTCTTCATGTGTTTCATGGTTGATTTGAGAGACCTTTAACCAGNGTTGAGAGAAGTTGGAGGCTCTATTAGAGTTAAACTTCTATTCTTTGCTGACAGGAGTCGAAGACTTCTTCATGTGTTTCATGGTTGATTTGAGAGACCTTTAACCAAGTGCGTTGCCAAGTGAGTAAATTTTACCGATTCTACAAGCCATCTGGAGTCTAAAATTTTTATGCTTTCATTTTCGTACATTTTCTTCAGTTGGACTCAATAGCAGATTCTTTGAAAGAGTTTGAAACTCAAGTCAAATTAAATTGGGTCCATCTAAGACTTTTCGGTTGCCATTTTTTTATGGATAGAGGAGTTTGAATTAGATTCAAAGACTCTTATTTTGCTAAGAAAACCGTATGTGTCTTTGGAGAGAATTCGAAATACTCTTTCATTTAACAATTTGGTTGGTTACTGAAAAACCTAACGCTTTGATATGACACTTTTGAGAAGGGATTGGATCTTTGACTCGTGTCCTTGACACCGAAGACACATTTTTTATTTTAATGAAGACACGTGTCCTCGACTTCGAAGGCACCCTATAACTCTGACACAAACACGTATACTCGGCATCGAGGGTGCCCCTTGTTCTATGACAGACACGTGTTCTTGGCGCTGAGGGTATCTCCATCGCTCTGAGAGAGCCACGTGTCTTTGGCACCGAAGGCACTTATTGAACTCTGATCTTGTCACGTGTCTTTGGCTTTTGGAGAGGTTACTGATTGACAGCTAATCAGTCTTAGAACTAGATTAGAGATCGTGGGATTACTCCCCCCAACAAAATCAGAATGACAGAATGAACAAGATATTCAACCGAGAGGAGTTAGACGCGTGACATAAAGTACATGATGAGAGGTAAATAGACAAAAAAATCCCTGCTAACATACGGCAATCTCATGCAGGCATTTAATGAAGCCTCAGTAATTGGAACATCCATGATGGCTTAAGAAGCCGAGAAGAAGGGGCATTAAGGGCCCCAAGACCTGAGCATTTAATACCTCTACATTGAAGAAAGAACATTAAATGCTCGGGAGTCCGAGCAATTAATAACGTGGTCTCCCCCATGCAAAATAGGAGGCGTACTGTCCAATGACTGTGCTATATCTACTGCCTCACCTATCAACAATGATGAGTTATTGAAGGTATAAATAGTTCCAAAAACTTGAGGACAAAGGTACACAAATCAACTTCTTAAGAAAACTAAATAGTACTTTCTTCTTCCCCTCTCTTAAAGAACTGACATAATTATTGGAGGAGATATGCCGAAAAATACTCCGACGCCCTTCTAACCCGTTTTTTGTGTGCTAAGAACCACCCACGACTTGTCAGAATCGATCAGACAGCTCCTGAAGCAATTCATCACCAATTCTTAGGCCCCTTTGGCCATTTTGATTCTTCCTTTATCATGAGATTGTCGACTTTCGAAATATATGAGTTTACCACGAGAAAAATCTGTCTTTTCATCTATTGTGTGAAAATTATCGTGCACATGCTCTTTTAGTGCCGCGAAGAGTTTATAACTCCAAGAATATTTGCACTGTAGCAAAATCCAGGAGTTGAAAACTCCTTAAATCACATCATGATTTTTGTAAAAGGGCGTAGGAGATTCCAAGAAATTTAGTTGACGAGTCAAAGACTCCATATTTTTTTGAGTTAAAAACTCAAAAAAAATTAGTAGTTAAAACTCCAGCCCGCCCTCTTTTTATAAGGAGTTAGAAACTCCTTTGCCATGCACTATGGAAGGCTCCATAATGAGCGAGTCGCAGAAGCTTTTGTCAGTTCCATAGAAGAGGGTAACACTCTTACAGTTTTTGCGTCGTACCAAAGTGAAGGAGTTGAAAACTCCGCTTCGAAAACAGCTCGGGATGACTGCATGGATGGAAATGAAAGAGTTTAAGACTCTTAAATAGTGACTCGAAAGGACCGTAGGCGAAGGCGACTTTGGTGAAAGCGTCGGAAAATGAGAGTGTCAAAGACTCTTGTTGATT